GAGGAAGTATGTGAATGGTGCTTTGAAAACCATAAAGCGCTAAGTAACCATAAGTCATTTTATTCTGATAATTTCCATCATATTTATTAAATTCTTGGTTTCACTGAATATTAAAAGTTCTATGCTTTCTGCAAGATTGAAGGTGGAATTCTGCCAAATATTAACCATAAAGAGTGTTTTAAAATATGTTCATACTATTTTTTGCAATTATTTATATTTCTTTATGGAATATGTTTCAGGTACAGAACTAAAAATTTGGGGTCACAGGGAAGATTGTGGAATTTTATAGGCTTTGGTTTATAGAGACTTGAAGTCTTTTTCCATGTTTCTGGTATTTTATTCATTTCAGCCTGCATGGATTTTTTTCCCTTCCTTCTCCTCCTCCGCCAGGTTTGGTTTTGAGCTTTGGATTCAAAGAAACCCCAAAGTCAAAACAAAATGGTCAGAACTGCTGACTTTTGTTTTGTAACCTTTTTTAGTTCAGCATTCACAGGAAGAGAGGGCGCTGACCAGAATCTGGGACTAACTTCACCCAAAATGTTGGCAAAGTTCAGAAACCTTTGAGTGAACTTGCACCAAGATACAGATATGTACCAAACCTTTAACACTTTTCTATTTTACATTAAAGAAAATTTAATGAAATGTCACCCTATAAAAAGGAGATTTAGTACTTAAAAATTCAACATTAATCTGCCAGTTATTTTTGATCAAAATAAAATAATTTGCATTTTGTATTAAGTACAGTCTCTTAGTTTTTCAAATTGCAGGTCCATTTTGAAAGCCTACATGTGAAATGTACTCAAGTGTTTTCATTACCTTTGAAATTTTCTTTGAAGATTTGTAGTTAAGAATAACAGTTATGCTAAACGGTGCTTATCAAATTTCATCTCAGAATTTTTATAGTTTTGTTATAAACCTTCTACCACATTTTTTTTATAATGGAAATGCTGACAAATGCAATAATAAATAGCAATACAAATCCTAGGATCTTAATTGTATGTTCATGCAGAAATTATGCATAAATACTAACATAATATTTGATTCAGTTTTCACTGCTACTTTTGCCAAAATCGGCTTTCACATTGGGCAGCTGTAAAAGATGATCATCCTGAATGGCTGCCTGTTGATGGCAAAGGCCTCTGATTTTTACTTTCCTTGGAAAGTCTGATTATGTCTTTCAAATATGATTTCATTTAGATCTTTTTTCTTTGGTATAAATGTCTAAATACTACTAGTAACCTGAAAATTATGGGGAATTTAGTTTGAGACCAAAAGGCAGGTTTCAGTCAGTAAGTTGTATATAAATAAATCACTTCTATGCAACGTCTAAAATGGTATTTAGATACCAAATGTCCAAATAACTTTTAGATTTCAAAAACATTATTAAGAATTTCCAGAGGTAATTGACATTAGGATTTTTTAAAACTGGTGGAAAGTATTAAAAAACCAGTATCTACTGATATTTTATTGGTGTTGGTTTAAAAGATAAAGAATAAAACAATGTTAACATAGGTTACGTTATACTAAAACCAGTTGTGTTAAAACATACACTGACAGGGGCACCTGGGTGGCTCAGTTGGTTAAGCATCCAGCTCTTGCTTTTGGCTCAGGTCATGATCTCATGGTTCTTGTGATGGAGCCCTGGGTCAGGCCCTGCACTGATGACTCAGAGCCTGCTTGAGATTCTCTCTCTCCCTCTCTCTCTCTCTGCCCCTCCCTGTACTCTCTGTCTCTCAAAATAAATCAACATTTTTTTTAAAAAAATACAAAGTACACTGACAGATGATAGCTGCACCTGTGGTGAACATAGCATAATGTATAGAGTTGTTGAGGCATTCTGTTGTACACCTGAAACTAATGTAATATGTGTGTCAACTAAGGTAAAAAAAAAAAAAAAAAAAAAAAAAATTAAAAGTATGCTGAATTTATGGATCTAAAATGAAAAGAACTAAAACGGTCGCATTGCTTAAGAAAAGTTGAGTGTTGAGATTTGGAGGTGTAGTGGATTCATGTTCAAAATGCAGATGACTTATCTCTGTGGATAACTTGGTGTAAGAAATAAGTCAACCCATTTCTCTGTATTTAAAATCCTTGTTTGGCTTCAAATTATTCTATCAGTACAATGATTAAGAAAATGCCTTAAGTGACTTTGCATTTTAGAGCAGCTTCTAAACATACAAAAAATTTACAGAGAACAAAACCTTCATGCAATTTAACAGACTGAAGAATTGTGGGCATAATTCTTCTGGTAATAATGGGGAAATCACTTTTTATTTGGAGGCTCTTTAGATTTTATTTATGTGCTGAAGAACTATTCACTGTAAGATATTATGTGCTTACTAAGAACGTAACAAAATGGTCTGTAACATGAGGGAGAGGATTAAGCATGATGGATGCTTGTATTTACTCTTTAGGACCCAGTGGTTTAGAGGTCCTTTGTCTACACGCATTTCTTTCTTTAATTTCTGGTTTTAAAAAAATGATGATTCCTGGATTTGAGCCATTTTTTAAAAACTTAGCACTTGTAGATTTTTTTTACATGATGTTTAATTCTCAGGGGGGCTGTAAGGGGGAGAAATAAGGAAGCTTCTGCAAGTTCTTTTAGTTTTGAACTCATTCATACTATATGTAAAATGTTGACACATTTTTAAAAAAAGTATTAAAAAATAACTGAATAAACATGAGGTATTGATGGAGACACTAGCACTCCATAAGAAGATAGGGAACAGAATTCTGTTTAATGAAAAGTTCAGAAATAATTATTTTTGTCAACATATTGAAATGAGTAACTTTAAATTTATCTTTAAAAATACAGATATACTGGCCTCAGTAGTCAAAAAGTTGTCTAGAAAAAGAAGTGGAAATGAGTAACTTTATTTTATAAAACTGTTACAGAGGTTATTGTCTAAGTTTCAGTTTATTTTGTAAAGTGACAGAATAAAAATACACTCCCTAATTTTGCTGTTTTTTTTTTTTTTTTTGGTCTTACCTGGTTACATTTTTTCTTTTACCTATTTATCCTGACGTTCCTATGGTAGAGGTGGAAAAAATCCTAGTGAAAAGACACAGTCAAAATAAGAATTGTCTCTGGAAGACAATTAGAATTAGTTCTGAAATGACAAAATTTCGGAACTAATTCAGTTCCTATAGATAGGAGAACTAGAAGAGTTTTAAATGCAGACACTTGAGAGACAAGTAAATCCTGGCAGTGCTGGTGGGAAAGAGTGTGGACTGGCAGAACCTACCTGGAAGGCAATCTGGCCATTTGTAGCCACAAACTGAAATGTTCATTTGATGAAGAAATTTTATTTCTTATACTCTAATATCAGGAAGTTATCACAGGCAGACAAGACATCTAGAAGAATGCTCTTTGCATTGCCATTTATTTTTTAAAAAGGAAGTATCTTAGCTATGTACCTGTAAAGGACTGGCATTAAGCTGTGATACATCGTTATGACAATAAAATACAGTAATCAAATTATGTTTGAATAATATTTAAAGTCAGGGGGAAAGGGCTCTTTCTATACTGATGAGTGTGGGGAAAGATCAATATCCAAAAGTACCTCAAATTTGTTAAGCATATTTAATTCATATCTATACAGAAAAAAAAGACTAGAAGGAAATAAAAATGCTAACTATGTGGTGATGTGGAGTGATTTAAATTTTATTTACTTTTTTAACTTTTGTTTTCCAAACTTTCTAGGATAAGTATATATTAGTTATTAATAAAAATATTTCTAAAGGTATGATAGGGAGAATGTGTGTGTGTGTGTGTGTGTGTGTGTGTGTGTGTGTTTGGGCGCACAAAGGTGTGTCAGGTGAAGTGGCAAAATAAAGAAATACGACTGGCCACAGGCCTTGTTCATTCTGGATCTCTCCCCACTGCCCATCTGTCTGAGTACATCCCAGTTCAGGTAGCAGGTTGCCCAGAAGGAAGAAAACCTGGACTTGGCAGATTCAAAACCAAGATGGTCTCACCTTGGTCCTGCTTCAACCTCCTCTCCATCACACACATATTTGCAAAGTGGAAGGTACATGGCCCTCCTCCTTCAGTTTGATTTTCTTGCCCAGTTGCACTAGAAAGGTGCTGGCCTCTACCACAGAGGTGCCTGGGCAGCGAAGCCGTGCCTGAGCCTTGGGAAGCACGGTCCTTTTCCCGGAAGCAGGGAAACCAGCCTCATGCCAAAGCTGCAGCCCAAGATCCCAAGCTCCAGGAGCGTCCCCTGCCAGACTGGAGCCCGTCCTCCCAGGTTCGAGCATCAGTCTCCGGGAGGAACACCAACAAGGTTTCTGTTCTCATGCCCAAGCAAAGAGAGAGGGGAGAATGATGTCCCTTGTAAGAGGTCGCTTGTCCCCCCGGACTTGCCACTTCCCTTCCTCTTCCCTTCCTGCCCTCGGACAAGCCTAAGAGGATTGAACAAGCGGTCCGGAGTCCCTCGGCCTCCGAGGAGACCCTCCACCCTGCACCCCTGTGTCTGTTCCAGGACCTACCTAAGCGCTCGGACGGGATGCTGAGCTGAGCGCCTGCACAGAATTGGGCAGCACAGACTGTTGAGGCAAAAAAAAAAAAAAAAAAAAAAGTAGGAATGTCTATTTTATTACTTCTTCTTCTTCTTCTTTTTTTTTTTAAGGTAAAGAGAAGAGTTTGGACTCCGTAGAAGGCCCCGAAGTCTACAGTTTGGGGAGAGGATTAGCTCCCCACCCACTAGGCCGGCAGAAACCGCTTCTGGGCTGTCGCCTCAACAGGCCCAGCGAATTCTACCTCCTAAGGCGCCCCAGGCTCCTTAGAAAGCAATCGCGTGTATGTTAACTCTCCGGCTACCACTCTTCTCGATAGCTGTGGGGATTTCTCAAGTCCGGACCAAGCTCCAGAAGGCCAGACTTTCTGTCTTAAAGAGTCCCTCCTGGTCTCTCGGCCGCACCCTCCTGGGTCCTGATGCACCCCCAAGCCCGCGCACGCCCACGAGAGGAGGGGACAGACACCTCCATCCCACCCGGACTCAGCCGGTTTCCTTCTTTTCGAAGCTCTCCAAGAGCTCGGTCATGAAGGAAATGTAGACGATGGCCAGGCGTAGGGTCTCGATCCGGGACAGCCTCTTCTCGTAAGCAAAAGTGGGCACCTTCCTTCGCAGCTGGTCGAAGGCCTCGTTGAGGTTGAACATCCGCTTCCTCTCGCGGATGTTGGCTGCCTGGCGCTGGGCATAGGTGATCACCCTTTTCCTCTTGGGACGGCCCAGCGGGGACGCGCCTCTCCCATGCTCCTCTTCCTCCTCCTCCTCCTCCCCCTCGTCTACTTCGCCCTCCTCTTCGGGATCCTCCTCCTCAAAGCGTGCCAGCCTCCTGCGTCTTCCCTCTCGGAGCACAAGGTCTCGGTCCCCAAAGGGAACCCCAGGTGCGAAGTCGCAGAGGAGTGGGTGCCCCGGGGAGGCCAGGGACAGGTCTGCGACGAAGTCCAGCACGGTGGCATCCACGCACCTCTCTGGATAGGCCGCCATCGCGTTGCCTTGGCCCTGCCTCTCATCGGTTTCTCGCAGGGAGGGGCGAGATTCTGGTGAGGGGCTTCCTAACAGCTCCCAATCTGATGCGGCACCATCACCGAAGGGCCAGGGGAATTAACATTTATAACCAAGCTGATAACAGGATTAGTGGCACCGATAGGGAAGGCTCTGACAAAGTCCGTCCTCTCGAAACTGATGGAAAAAGACAAGCAAGCTTGAGCGCGCTAGGGAATCTCAAAGGGATAGGCCTCCAACGCTGAGATCCTTTTCGCTCGCCACCTGGGACAGTTCCTTTTTGGCAACAACCCCCGGCTCTTACCTGCTGTGCTTTTTGTGTGTCTCCTCACCCCCGCAGCCAACTAATATTCTTCAGGCTCCTTATCTCATGTAGCTCTTTAATTTAGCTTTGGATTTTCAAAGCGAGGATGTTTTCCACCGCTCTGGCTTCTCCTTGGCTTCAGAGTAGAAGTCCCGAATCTTGCCACCCGAGGCTGCCAATGGGTCTGAAACAAGTGCATGTGCTTTTAATGATGTCCTGAAGAGGGGCCCTGTCTGCCAGGGGTCGAGGAGAGCTGTTTGTCTGGTATCCCAGTGCAGCGGCTACTGAAAGGCAAGATCTTCCATTAGCTTAAGTAAGCACGGTAGGGGGGGCCGAGAGCGCATTCCCCAGAGTCGCTGTTGGAACCGGCTTTCTCCTTCCAGGGCATCTAAACGGCTCTCCTGCCGCGTTACAAACCCTGACTTTCAAAGTCTGTTTTGTTGTAATCAGCCTAACAACTGAGATACTTGACTTTCCTTTCCCTACTTATATCCTCCTCATGTAAAGTGGAAGATTTTAATTCAGGGGAAAATGATAATGGGGTGGGGGGGAAGGGAGCTCATAATATTTTCTCCCCAGTGTGCTTAATTGTGTAACCCCAGCGTGGCGGGGTGGGGGGGGTCGGGGGGCAAAGCAAAAGCAAACACTTGCGCCCCAAAACAAAACAACTTCAATCTCCTCTCAAAAATGCGATTTGCCCTTTGATAAAGCAATAAGTCGATCGGCTCACTCTCTGTTGAGAAGTCTTGCAACGTTTAAATTGCCGCTCGGTATTTGTGAACAAAGATAAATCTTCACTTCCATCTGGGTCATTTTCCTCATTGATTTGTACTGCCCTACAGGACTTACCAGTGGAAACTATGCTGTATTGAATTCTATTTAAGGGAGATTTTAAAGTTATCTTTATGTCATATTTTTGAGACGTAAAGATATTTGAAATTTGGTGTGACGAAGACAAAATTTTACTAATTTCATATTATCGCTAATATTTTAACAAAGAAGTGTTCATTTTTCCTTCTTTGCCAGTAGCTATATTTATTTAATTATTCGGCGTAGGGATTTTTAAGAAGACACAGAAGAGCAGAAAAACATGTTAGAAAATTGTTTTAAAGATAGGTTAAAAGAGCCTAAAAAGACGAGTAAAGAGGCGCCTTGGTTCAAGAAAAAATTCCTGAAGACATCAATTCCTATTAAGGAGGGAGTTGTATGACCGTTCAGTTAGTACATTGGACAGCTCCCAGAAACCGCCTATTTCTAACAGGTCAGCACAATTCCTTTTCTTCCTAACCTCCCAGTTTGTGCTTCCAGATACTATTAAAGCAGTATTGTTGTGAATTCTTCTTTTTCTTTCATTCATTTTTTAATACATTCGTCTCTGTGTTCTCTCTTGTTCTTTTGTCCTTTAGTTGATTTTCTTTTCTCTTGCATTTATTTTTCATGCTCCAGTGTGCATTGTGATAACTCAGGCAGAGAAGAATTGAAATTTATATTCTTGAAAGATGTTAATGAAAATGAGATTCTTGATTATGATTGCCTGTTGATTTTTACCCAACCTCTTTCAAAGAGCAGACTGAAAAATAAGAAAAAATGAATTGAAATTTCAACAGTGGCTAAAGAATAAGTAAATGGGAGGATTAATTTGATTTGTAGTTGTTAAATGTTTCTCATAACTTTTCTCTTAAAATTTTTTTAAATGTTTATTTATTTTTGAGAGAAAGAGAGACAGAGTGCCAGCTGGGGAGGGGCAGAGACTCTTTCCAAAGCAGTCTTCAGGCTCTGAGTTGTCAGGACAGAGCCCTACATGGGGCTCAAACTCATGCCATGAGATCATGACCTGAGCCAAAGTCGAAAGTTTAACCAACTGAGCCACCTAGGTGCCCCATAACATTTCTGTTTTAAATGCCAACATAAGTGGATTAAATACCTCGTCTTGTGAGAATCTAGTTTGGCAATAAAATACATTAGGACACTTACTGAAGGGAAACATGACAGATATTTAGAAGTAAAATTTAATACAATAGGTGTAAAAAGCTATCATGGGAATCTGAAGAGGCACTTCTCTTGGATTTTTTGGATTTTATGAAAGGGGATGAATATTTCAACAATCTTATCACAAAAGAAAAATAATGAAATTAGGTACTGTAGCAGAATTAATGGAACACTACACAGGATGGGGTTGAAATATTAATATTAAAATATTAGGAAACATAAAAATATCTTAATAGGTATGCCTGTAGCAATAATTTAAAAATACCTCTCTCTTAATTTTAATCATAACATCCCAAGAAAACACTTCTGTTTATACCACAATAATCTGAGTTTATCCTTTAAGGTTCTAATCATGGTGACACAAATGTTAAAATCTAAATTATAATGACTGACTCTATTTTTTGTTTATAAATATAATGATAGAATAGAAATAAGTGAAATTGTTTTTCTCTGTTTATTTTGTTTTTTTTTAAATTTTTTTTTCAACGTTTTTATTTATTTTTGGGACAGAGAGAGACAGAGCATGAACAGGGGAGGGGCAGAGAGAGAGGGAGACACAGAATCTGAAACAGGCTCCAGGCCCTGAGCCATCAGCCCAGAGCCCGACGCGGGGCTCGAACTCACGGACCGCGAGATCGTGACCTGGCTGAAGTCGGACGCTTAACCGACTGTGCCACCCAGGCGCCCATCTCTGTTTATTTTGAAACATCTACTCTTTTTAAAATGCTTTTGTGGATATTTGGTTTCACAGTAAATATACACAGTAAATGTAGTAAATTTATAAAAATGATTTAAAACATTTCATCCCTTTGGAAGGAACCATTAAACCTCAAGAAATTTATTCATTTTATTAAAATATTTACAAATGGAATAACTGCCTTTTCTGCCATTTGGACGCTCCAGGAAAATTTTCAGGAAATGTAAAAGGAAATAAATTCTAGGGTTTGTTTATATTTAGAGTTAAGAAATTCTTGCTTACATTCAAACTAACTGCTTGCTATTCTACTTATAATCCTGAGTTCAAATGAAAGTAAGGGCTCCTCAGGATGCTGTAGTTCAGGGATTGGCAAACTTTCTTTAATTGGCAAAATAGTAATTTAGGCTTTTTGCAAGTCATAGAATCTCTGCTGAACTACTCAGTTTTGATTTTGTAGTATAAAAGTAGCCATAGACCATATGTAAATGAAAAAGAATGGCTGCGTTCTCTAAAACTTTATTTCCAACATCAGGCAGTGGGCAGGGTTTAACCCTTGAAATGTAGTTTGCTGACTCTGCCCTATTTAATAAGCCTATCTTCACATTCCTTGGGGTACTTATTAGGGGGACTTGCTAAGATAAGACACTCAAACATATAAGCGAATATTAAGTTGTTGAGCATGTATCTTGTTTACATGTGTATATGTGTGTTGGACACATCACACATATGTGTGATGGACAAAGAATGGAAAAATGCTCCTGAAGTGAAGCAACTGAATCTGTAGGTACTGTCTTTGAAATTACACTGAGGTGTTAGAGTAACAAGGAGAGGTTCTGCATGGGAGGCATACACCAAGCTAACATTACCATTGCAGAGACTCAAGGCTTATTTATAGTCACTGAAAACAAATACCAAATATGATGATATGCTCTTTAAAATATTAGTATTACTACGTTTTGGGTGAATTACACTTAAGAAGGAATAAGTAAAGAAGAGGCAAAATTCCCGGAAAGCAGTCTTTTACTTTGTGAAGTGCTTCTAATTGTCAAAATCCATTCAATGAAGGCAGTTGCTTCAAGAGGCTTATTTATCATTTCCCTCTTATTTCCACCTAAACCACTCTTTCCCCTCATAATTGTGGCAGAAACTGCTCAGCATTCCCTGGCATCTACTTATCCTTTTTCCTTTTAGTAACAGACCTACCCACACATGTTAGTTGGGCCCATTTCTGACCCACTGCATTTTAGCTGGGCATATGTCTAGCCCATGACAGTGGAGTCAATGAGACATAATATGTGCAAGTTCAAGTTGGTCTTTGGAAATGAAATTGCTTGCCTCCCACTTGGCCCTTTGCTCTCTTCTGGCTTGGAATGTGGGTGCTTTGGCAGCGAGTTAGAGCTGACCATGTAGACAAGGACAACACACTATGGCAGGGACTGAAAGACTTTTTCTATATAGTGCCAGATAGTACCTGTTTCAGGTTTGTACAATCTCTGTCATAACTACTAAACTCTACCATTGTAAGATGAAAACATGGGGTGCCTGGGTGGCTCAGTCGGTTAGGCGTCCGACTTCAGCTCGGGTCATGATCTTACAGCACGTGAGTTTGAGCCCCGCATCGGGCTCTGTGCTGACAGCTCAGAGCCTGGAGCCTGCTTCAAATTCTGTTTCCCTCTCTCTCTGCTCCTCCCCTGCTCATGCTCTGTCTCTCCTTCAAAAATAAAAACATTAAAAAAAAAGATGAAAACAGCTACAGAAAATATATAAATGAATGGGTATAGCAGAGTTCCAATAGAATGTTATTTAAAAAGAAGGTGGTAGGCAGAATTTGATTCTCAGGCTGTAGTTTATTGAATCCTGCCCTATGTGATGGCAGAACAACAGAAAGTTGGGACTTGGAATGATGTAACGGAGTAGAGTTGTACCTCTCAAATTCAGATTAATATATAAGAAAAAATATTCTCCCAGTGTATCTCAGATCTCTTTACTTTG